GGGGGGGGGGGGAGGGAAGGTCCCATTGGTTTGGATTCGCTCTGTAGTGTAGCAGAGATAAGCATAGGTTTAAAACAATCACCTCAATTTCTTACGGCGAAAAGTCCTGGAAAGGCAGAGAGCTACTTAATGTAAACACGTAGTTTATCATCGATGTTAATTGAAGGCCGGGATTTTCCATTCGTAAAAAAACTTCTTCTTAGAATTACGGACTCTAAACGTACTGCGCAGAAAAAAGTTGGCCAAACTGTGAACGAGTTGATAATTTTGATTTTAAATTTGAGGTGTAAACATGAGGCAAATATATTTGTGAACAATTTCGATCATTACTATTGACAAGTGTAAAACCAGGAATAGTTAATACAATATACACGATATAAAATGCAACGAAAATAAACTCATCGTTTGACCAAGACTAAACATGATATTCCATCTGGCACAAAGTCTTAAAAGTCAATTGGGAAAAACTGCTGTTTAAATGCTATAACCTTTGAAAGAGTAACTCATTATTAAAGCCAATGGATTATTTTTGAACAACTGTTGATCCTTTTGTCCTTATATCAAAAAATGTATTCGTATCAGTTACTAAAAGCCATTTAATTCTCTCATTGACAGCAAATTTCGTTCGCCAGATCCATACGGGCTACAAAGGGATGACACAGGGCGTCATGTAAGACAAGGTAGATTGCTTTTTCACCCTCTCTTCTTTTCCAGTGAAGCAACATTTGATATGGCTTTTCGGTAAATTCTCTATGGTTTTGGTCAAACGCGACCAGCTTTGGTTCCTCAATATTTAAACGTCTGCCAAGTGGCTTCCAGTCCACACCGATGATTTTCGAAATGATCTCTAATTCTCTTTCACTGGGCTTGCCATTCTTGACTGAATATTTAAAAAGAGCAGTTAATGTTTATAAGGTATTCTTAATAAAGTAATTCTTGTTCTACGTAATAGATGGATGATTGGTTAGCATCAATCCTCTTCTCAAGGAGGTATGCCTCGATCTCTTTAGAGGAATACAATGCATCACTTCGGACTAATTCTCCAGCTTTTTGGTCCGGCCAAATGTCACCAAACATATAAGAACTATTGTGTTTTACCGACCTGTTTATGTTTTTGCTCGAGAAAGACAAAACTTACGCGGTGAAAAAAAAAGAAAGAAACAAAGCAGTTGCGACGTTGTGAAGTTTACTTTGTGAGCTGACTCTATACTTGTACGTAAATCAAGTTATAATTTAACAAGGAAAAAATTTGCTTATTTAGCGCTATGTTCTGTAGGCTTAGAAATATTGATCCTGGAACAGAAGCCTTGAATCGAACAATTCATTTGTGTAGAGCAACTTGTACTTTTTTCACAATGTCTAACAATCAAGTCAAGTTTAAGAATGTTTCATGAAGGTCGTTTGTCGAAACAGCTCTAATGCTGACTTTTAACTGGCAGCAGATACTAGGATATATTTAGCGCGTTTGTGATATGATTTATGGCAAACAAAGCACAGGCGAGTGTACGGTCGGACAGGCAAACAGGCGGAAGGACTGACAGACAGATGAGCAAACGGTCGTGCGGAAAGAATAACATGGAAGCAGGAAAGCAAGAAAAGCAGACAAACAGACAGTCGTACAGGAAGACTGACAACTAACAGACACTAAAAAGTTCAGTTCGGAAAAAGCTTACCTCTGGTTGCCATGGTACTGATAATTTCTGCACCCTCTTTTCCCGGGCTCCGTGCTGATGTCAGCCTATCAACTGCGGGTTCACTTGCACTGAGGTCAGTTGCTTCTAAACAAAATAATTCAACAATTTAGAAAATGCATTTTTGTAGTGGTTACGTTTTTCACATATAAATGTAAAATGGAAGGACATAACCCTGATTGTACAGACCTATTACCTAAAGTTTCACCATAACATGGAAAAAATTAACATGTGACTTTTCTTATCAGGAAAAATTATGAAGTAAGTGACAACTGATGAAAAAATATTTTGTTAGTAAACTATGTAATATATGTAACGTAGAGGTTTAAGTATAGCCTTATCATGTCTTAAATGTAAGTGTATGCTGTGAGCAATATTTTGGCAAGAAAAAAATAAGGAGGTGCATGATGCATGTATATTTCACATCAAAGGAACAATACTTTTTTTCTTGTTATTTGGACAGCAACTATTATAATTTACTTTCGAAAAATTGTACCTATAATTTGTTCCGTTAACATCTACTGGATAAAAAAGGTGTGTGTATATTTGTATTGATTTAAAAACGGGTGTATATATAAATGTGTGTGTTTATTTATGACATCCATTTTATCCAACTTGAAATCACAACTGGTCCTTGTATACTGATTGGCTCTCATTGGAGCAAGTTATTCACTAATTGCATCATTCTTTGCACTTAATCGCATCTTTTTCCCAAGAAATGAAGAAGCTTTACTAAAATACAGCAACCAATTGTTTATTTAAAGAAATTAATCAAGTTGCAGGAAAATGAAAAAACAACTTTTGCAATTTTCTACAAACAAGCTCCCTGCAGGATAATCAAAACATTTGTACAGACTAAATAATCCTATATCTGAGAAACTGAATTTTGTGATTTCAAAATGGATGTAATGAAGTGGTAATTGAACTTCGTGTTGTGCAATTTTGGTCTGAAATCGCACGTGTGAACTCAAATCAAACTTGTGCTGCGCACTTGTTTGATTTTGAAATTACGCAAGTAATTTAAGACCAAATTGCACTCCACTCAGTTCCATTACCATTATATAAATATAAACCTTCTAAATATACATATGAAGTCATTTAACTGCATGGTACAGATATGAAATGGCTCAAGTGAGGCCATTTTACATCATATCATAACCATTTTAGTTTTTTCAGGAGCTGTTTTACAGTTCTTCAAAACAGCTCTTGCCATGAGCATCATTTCAGGCCTTATGATGCCCATTTAGCTATTTATCTACATTGTTTTGTAACATAAATTTACTTAAATTGGCCACAAAATAGCAGTCAGTTTTCATCCTCTCTAACGAAAGAGGACCAAATTAGACCCAAAAATAGGACTGTATTTCAATCACCGAAACGGCCCTACTTTGGGGGTTAAAACAGACATTTTCCAGTTACAGCGCTATTCTCAATAATCGAGTGCGAGGGCCGTACTTAGGAATATTGAGCCAAGTCAACTAAATTTGTTGCCATATGTTTCCCCTAAGCTGCATGAAATATAAACAAACCGACTAATATGCCTTAAAATCCTCTCAGAAAAAGAGACCGGAACTTCAAAAACTATGAAAAGTTATATTTATAATAATAACTTGAAGCCCTAGGGGAAATGCAAGTGTTGACAAAACAAATCGGAAGATTAATTTATCTCATTTTTGTAGCGAGAACCGAAGAACAATTATACGACTGTACGTAAATAAAAGTTTTGATGTCTACCTCACAAATTCATGATCTTTTAACACAGAGCGAGAGAGAGCAGATAGATAAGCTTGCCTATATGACCAACAGTAAGTCAAAGATCATATATTTGATCTTTCAAGATTCCTAGAATCGAAGCACAACTGATAAATCAATTCCCAAAGCCTGAATTTCTATCGCCTACAGTTCAAATCATCCAAGTGTTATGTACATCTAAAAAAATGGGACTAAGTGGTTGTAAGCGATGAAAACAGCGAGTCCCTCTACGACAAAGTTATCACTCAGGAATTGAGTAAAATCGCCGCTTTAGCTTTATTGCAAATTACATCGAACGAGTAATACTTGGCGCTTCCGCCTTAACTAAAAATAGCTTTCTCTAAACGAAACATAAACAAAAGCGGGCATATCTGAACGGATCTTTTGAGATTCTTAGTCGAAGCACAGATAGCTGCATGGTAAATTGATCTGATCATGTATTCTAAAGAAGATTTTAGTCTCTTTTGCTTTAAAATTCAGAATAACTTAACCAAACAGTTGTAGCCATTTGTTATCTTCACGAAGTCTTTATGTATTTGTTTGCGTCTGGACAAGCATCAGTTTGTTTCTTTTAAGTCTCTGTTTCAACTAGAGACTTAACTTGACTAAAATAACCGGATCAGTATCTTTAAACTGCAATCATTACAAATGATCGTCACTTTAGCTCGGTCGGAGGGGAATCATTCGGGAAGATGAACTATCGTGGGGTAATGAGAATAACCTAAGACAAAGTCATACGGCCATAAGCGTGACTTAATTCTCACAGTATCCACTATTATTTAAATCGTTCCTGTGTCGTGTAAAATTAAAACAAATGGATTGAAGGGTTTTTGTCGAAGACTTTCGCTCTTGGATGTTTATCTATGATAAAGTTAGTCATCTGTTATTGATAAAAACCCGCCTTGTCTCGGTTCAAATCACACCGAAGGAATATGTGCTTGGCGCTTTTGTCTTCCGTAATGTGTACAGTCAAAATATATGACTTTCTTTACCCACCTTCACTTTCTCTTTAAAATGAAAATGTCTGCACTTGACTCTGTGAACAAGACCGTGAAGACAAACGATATTACTTCGTAGGTAGTTTGTGAATCGACGGAACTAATCGAAAAGTTAACACTTCTCAGACAGTTTCGTTTCAGACTTGCAATGTCGTTGAGTAGTTTATCAGACTCCTTAATTATGCAAACATAGCTAAGGTCACTCTGACGTAGATTCATGGCGGTTACATGTTACTTTCTCCAATGGATTAAAGTCGTTAATTTATAAATATATATTAATTTCCTGTTTATTTCGTATCATAATGATTCTTTTGCATTCAGGGAATGACTTACTTTAAATGTTTTCTTAACCTATCGCTTCTCTTGTGGTATGAAAACAGAGTTTTATTTTCGGTCAGAATTTTATTCCATTTTTAGAGCTTATCCTATTCAAGTCAATCATTCTTAGGTTAAGTAAGCAACCGGTCATTGTTTATCGCTTGGGGGGGGGGGGGGAGGGGGTTCCCTTTGTTTGATTCGCTCTCCATTAGATAGGCATAGGTTTATCATTATATAGGATGATTATTAGCATTATAATCCTATATAATGGTTGGGTCAATTTTTTACGGCGATGAAGTCCTGGGAAGGCAGAGAGTTTCTAAATGTAAACACGTACGTAGTGTCCACTCAGCATGGATTTGTGTTGTTGTATATTAAAGAGCTAATATTGTTTTGACTACTTCATTACATGGTAGTAATGAAGTGGAATCGCAATTATAGTACAAGCAATCGCTTTAGAATTATCATCAATGTTAATTGAAGGCAGGATTTTTCAGGGGAGTTATAATTTGTAAAAAAAAGCTCCTTGATAGATTAATACAATATATACGATTTAAAATGCAACGAAAATAAAAACAACGTATGACAAGGAAAACGTATCATGAGATTCCAGCTCACCATCCATCTAACTTAAAAATCTAATGGGAAAAACTGGTGTATAAATGCCATTACCTTTGAAAGAGTAACTCATTATTGAAGCCGACAGATTATTTTTGGACAACTGTTGATCGTTTTGTCCTTATTTCAAAAAACCTATTTGCATCAGCAACTACTGAAAAGTCATTTAAGTCTCTCATTGACAGCATATTTCGTTCGCCAAATCCTTACGGGTTACCAAGTCATGACATAGGGCGTCATGTAAGACAAGATAGGTTGCTTTTTCACCCTCTCTTCTTTTCCAGTGAAGCAACATTTGATATGGCTTTTCGGTGAATTCTTTATGGTTTTCGTCAAAAGCGTCCAGTTCTGGTTCCTTAAACTTTAAACGTCTTCCAAGTGGCTTCCAGTCTACGCCGATGTTTCTCGAAATTGTCTCTAATTCTTCGTCACTGGGCTTGCCATTCTTGACTGAATATTGAAAAAGTAAAGTTAATGTTTGTAAGATATTCTTAATAAAGTAATTCTTGTTCTACGTAATAGATGGATGATTGGTTAGCGTCAATCATCCTGTCATGGAGTTATTCCTTGATCTCTTTAGAGGAATACAATGCATCACTTCAGACTAATTGTTTCAAAGCTGTTATGATTCTCTCCAATTGAAAATCTTTGGCTGGAAATTGGAGCTTTTTGGTCCGGCCAAATATCACCAAACATGTAAGAACTATTCTGTTTTACCGATCTGTTTATGTTTTGCTCGAGAAAGACAAAACTTACACAATGAAAAAAGAAGCAAAGCAGTTGCGACGTTTTGTAGTAGTTCTCCTTTAAGTTTTATGGCAAACAACGCACAGGCGGGCGTACGGTCGGACAAACAGACAGGCGGAAGGACAGACAGACAGATGGGCAAACGGTCGTACGGAAGATTGCACAGACAAACAAGATCATAGACAAAGGCTGGCAAGCAACCACGCAGATATCCAGTGCGGGATTGGGAAGTAGAAAAAATAACATGGAAGCAGGAAAGCAGACAAAAAGACAGTCGTTTAAGAAGATAGACAAATAACAGCTTGAAAAGTCCATATCGGCAAAAGTGTACCTTTGTTGTCCATGGCAGTGATAACCTCTGGACGCTCTATACCCGGGCTCCCTGCTGATGCAGGTACACTTGCACCGATGTCACTTGATTCTAAACAAAATAATTCAAGAATTTAGAAAGCAAAAACTCAAGCTTCCTTCTTTCCAACAGGAAAATATTTTAATTCACGTAGACTAGACTGGCCCTTTATTAATGAACCATCGGTATTTTCAGTTCACAGGGAAGTAACTCGGGTTTTGATTCAGGTATGTTAAAAAGCCTAATATGTTGACGTATTTTGAAAATTCACTCAATGCATAAGATTAATAACTTGCTATACAGAACTTAGATTGAAATAAAACCACAATTAACGTTCTCTTAATATTCATGCAATCTCAGTTACTTTGCCATTATACCATCCCATGCTCAGTGGTTCTCGACAACTTCAATAATTTTACGTCTACCTGCACAGCCAGTTCCTTTGTGGGAGTTTTGAACGAGAACGAGGAGAGGGGATTTAGGAAAGAGAAATAGTGCTTTTCATTCTGAGTTTAGCTGATTCTTTTCCTGGCTAAGCCTATTACAAGCAATTTTACATAATGGATGGTCTGAAATAAGGTAAACCAAGATAATCTTCGTATAAATAAAGGGGGCAAGTTTCTAGAGAAACTTTGGAACTCTAGAGCTCTAGAACAAAAATATTTATCTCTTAATCGTAACTCCTAATCCTCACAGTTAATGAACCAAAATATCTTGTAAGATGATCATAATCATATATGAGGTTGATTATGGTCACACAATTTATAAATCTATGAGGATATGAGAACCAATCATTTGGTTTCAAGAAAAAGAGAGTGACGTCACCTTTATAATGTGGCCAGCTTTGGAAAACAACGGAACCATACAACATATTTTCCACAACTGAGGCTGCCATTACACTTGCAAAGGTCTTCCACTCATCGCTAACTCCTCCAGTGCCATCTGCATAGCCTGATATTCCCTTAACGACAACCCATTCCATTTTCAAGTCATACGCCGCAACATAAACCCCTAAAGAGAGAAAAACATTACTCCATATAACTAGTTGAAACTAAAGGCTTTTTGTGTGGCTGCGTTAAAGAGGATTTCCTTCTTCTTATATACATCACCGTGAGAATTGACATTGGATTTGAAAACATTTGAAATGTAACAAAGCAGTTAACTCCTAGATACTCAATCAGTTGTCCAAAAAATAAATGGTTAAACTTCGAGACTGGTTCCTTTCTCCATTTCCTTTCGTCTGCAATCCCCGGTTTCCAAACGGAGTTGGACCCCTCCTGGAGTTGGGCCTCCGGCCCATGTCCACTAGGGTATATGAACCCCACTCTCGCAGATTCGGACTATCCTTTAAAAAATTTACAATTTTTTTTCCCTCTATCATGAATTTATCATTTTATAATTAGGTCAAATTTTTGTCAACGCTTCTTTTATTGTGGACACAAAATTCCTAAATAATTACATGAGTGACAAACGCATTTTTTTCATGTAATCTTTTCAATCTTTTCCATATCCACTAGTGGGTATATGCTCGGGAGGGGGAAGATGTGGTCCAAATTTGCAGTGACACCGGCAATCGCTTTGTGTAATGTTTCGATTCACTTCTCGAATGAAAAACTTTGGATCAGTTTCTATCAATACCGCGATCTCTATCCTTGGAGTTAAATATGAAAGCTGTTTTAAAACACAAATCTGACCTTCACCCTCCCTATCAATTGCTTTTGCATCGGGATAAAGACGAATCAGTTCGTCATATCTCTGTTTGTCACAGACAAACTCTGGGCCACTCAGATACTCCGCATCACAATGAACTTCAATTTCTCGTGAGGAAGGGTCGCGCAATGGTGGTTTCCAACCAGCAGCTGCATCCTTGATAAGTTGCAACATGTTTCGACTTACGGGAACACGAGTAGCACCTGTTGATTGGACCTCACCACTCTGGACAATTCGAGAAGCATATTGAGTCATCTTAGAACACACGACTACGTCTCCCAGTCGCGTTTCACAACGCTGCAGCCCACTGCAGCACCCCACAGCGAACACTGCCTTAGGCTTGAGTATAGTAACGGCATTTTTCACGACGATTGTTGACCCACCAGTTGTGTTTGAACCCTCCTGGCATTTCATTAGCGCCACTTTCAAGGGTTCATCTATACCTATTCCCCCAAAATAAACATCACCAAGTGCCAGGGTGTAGCTTTTGAAGGAGTTCTTTAACAACTTATAGCAACTTAAAAACTCGCAGTCCTTAACTGTGAGTAACATAATGTCTATCGGAAGTTTCACATCGCCCCAAGGTGTTCGATCTCTGGGCAGGTTCCTAGGTTTTGGAGGAGTGAAGCCCTCAGCAAGAGACGGTGGTTTGTCTTCAATGCTTCGTGCAGACATGCTGTTCGTATTAGTCTTATTACTTTTGTAACTCTACAGATTCTCTTGTGTCATGGGCTTGAAGGATCCAACAATAGACAACAGCTGAAATAAAAGAAATGTAAAATAAAAATGTAGATAGAAGGTTGTTTACAGTGTCTAAACAGACAAAGAGAGAATTCCTGCAAACTATGCTAAAAGTTCAGACAAATAAATCCTTTAGGGGATATTTATCCAATGCAGTTTGCAGCTACTTAAGTGCACCCCTTTCCCACCCTTACATAATTTAAATGAATCTTTTCCAAAAGTTTTGAGTGAAAAAAAAAAGGTGCAAAGAGCTGATTTCTCAGAGTAGATGTGGCCTCTAAAAACTTTTAAAATGGAGCTTAACAGTTCTCCCAGTTGCCCTTGCACCCACCCTCCCAGCCAAGTACTGATGTCTCCCAACTAAGATTTAACAAATGCAACCCAACTAGTGTGGAAATATATTTCAGTTGGCCACCAAAGATTATGATGAATAAATAACTTAGCTTTTTATGATTATAGCTACATGCATGAGGCAGAAGATAAAATCTGGAATATACTATCCAAATAGTACATCACACAAGCAATTGAGCTGGTCACTCTGCAATAGAGAAAAAGATGGCACAATGCTTGCAAACTCTGGGTAAATCAACCATTTTGATGTAGGCAAATAGTTTTGAAATACCTGGAAGGTGTTGTGTAAGTCATTTCAAAAATGCCTTTGGAATGCATTGTAGGTGGTTGTCCTCACAATAGATGGGCCCATGAGATCCTTACCCAGAGTGGCATCTTTACCCAGAGTTCCAAGTGCGTTATTCTATCTTTTTCTGTATTATGCATTGGATAGTCAGTCCATGACTGACACTCTAATTACATGAAATCAGTAGGTCAAACAGTGAATCACTTACTCAATTAATCAGTCAGCTTATTACTTAATCTATCAATTACAAATAGGACTTATGCTGAATCAAAACCCCAGAATTCTACTATCTATGGTGAGGCCACAAAATTCATAAAGTTCAGGTGAATTATGAAATCCTTATGCAAATACCAGTACCTATACCATTGCCAATATATCTAAATGTATCAATCAAAATTTCACTTGACTAATTTGAAGTCTTGGAGTCTAAAACAGAATTGTAGCAAGCATCTGTCTTTAAAAAAAAAAAAAAAAAAAAAAAAAACTATGGTTGTCAGATTTGTGGCATTGACAAAATTACCCGAGCAAGTATTCATTGAGAAATAAAGAGAAGCTCTCAATTATCATATTTAAATTATATTCATAACTTGGCAAATTGTGTGATTAAATTCAATAGAACAAAGCTTGCTTCTTATTCCGACAGTGCACCAGGGCACTATGTTTTCCCATCTCTCATTAAGTATGCAGAGCACTATGATTGGTCAATTTAGCAGGTAATGTACCACTGCACAGCCCACTAAAGTTAAAGTTTTGTTTGAATGGAAATCTTCCTCCTCTAATTTGAACCCAGTGATATAATAATTATCTTTCTAACCTTATTTCCTAGTCAATACTGTAAGTTATGGGACCTTGTTTTTTCCACTCAGATTTGGCCCACATACTTCAAGCCTATGCAATAATTTGGAGCAGAAAAAAACTTGGTCCAATTAACTTATAATGCAGACTTAAAACTTGTTTACTTTTTTAGTAAGAGGTATGTACACATTGAAGTATGATGGAGGAGAGTTCTGATCTCAAAACATTTTATCCTCCTTGCTGATAATATAACAAGTTGTGTTTAATATCATGAAATTGTCTGGAGATCACGCGAGAAGCTACAATTGCTCTTAGAGGGGAAAACACACAATCAGATCTTGGGAGTTTTAGGGTTCAGTGTTTACCACCGAGTTAGAGCAGCATTTTACGTTAAGACACATTACACATTTTAGAGTGAACAACAATTATGTGTAGAAAATGTTACTCGCTTTGTAAGGGGCGCAGGATAAAATTACCATCTACGGCCAGCTCGAGAATTACAGTTCGCGGTCCGATGTTTCTATAAACCAGTGTACAACATATCAGATCCCTTTGATAAATGTGAAATAAGTTCTGAATATTGCTAGCAACAACAATGCAGAAAATTGTAGACTACCTGTGTCATGTCATCTTACTGAAAGTATCTTGCCACTTCGTGTAAAAATGTGTACACACTGCAACTCACAAAACCTTAATGTTGCGATTAACTTTATAAATTAAACCGGAAGTAGAAGTTGATCGCTTGGGGAAGAGTGAATCTTCATTTGCAGTTGGAACGCGAAGATTGAAGTGGGGGTACAATAAGCAGATCCTGTGCTATTAGTTAGAATAGTTATAAACACTGAAAAGATGATGGAAGAAATAGAAATCATGCTTATTCTAATTTACAAAATCTATAATGATCGATTTTGCCCTCTGTCAACATTTATATGTAAAGGGTTGGCGTATACGTTTGGCACTAATATTTAATTCAAACAATCACATCGATTGCTGGGGAGATTACGAAGATCATAAAACCACACGTACCAGTCGACATGGCAGATAACATACCTCCGATTCCAAATTGTTGATAATCAAACCGCCAAATCTTGGCATCTACATGGACGCTTTGTCTCGTAACCAAACTGGTTTACTTGGAAACGAGGCTGCAATAATAAAGACGTGGATGGGACCGTTAGGACTAGCGGAACTGGACAGCGGCACAAGTAGATTTGACGACGTATTGTAATGGATTTAGGATATGAAAAGATTCTACAAGGTCCTAAAATCTAAAATTCTGGCATATCTTAAGTTTGAATGATGACGCGAGAACACTGTGTCAAGGAAGAAGAAAAAGTTAATTAAACAGGTGTGACAGCCTCTGGATCAGGTCTATATTGCGAAAGAACCAAAATGTTACTTTGGAAAACTACAAACTTAAATTACGTATAGGTGAAATAACCTGTATGAAGTGTGAGATAAAAGAAAACCATATACATCACGAAAGAGTAAATGGCGCAGGGCTTAATATGTGCAAAGTGAAGCCGCTGAAAATGACGTTTACTTTCTGATGGCGCGCTATGTCGATTGCTAGGCACTGAAAGCAAGCCCCTTGAAATCAATGCTGTAACTCGAAAGCAAAATACGGAATTCGAGTGCTTCCTTGCAATGCAGATTTGTAGGGTTAAAAGGTCGCTTTAAGCAAGATGAATGACTAAAAGCTACAACACTGTATGATCGAATCAGTTGAGAACTGAAGACATAAATTTCAGCGAAAGGCATCGCTTCGTGTTCCGAAGATCCGACACAAAACGCGAACTATATGGTGGTTAAATTTTACTGGTTTTACAGGCGCCAGGCTGTAATCACGCTTTATCAAAGGAAATGTTTTCGTTCCGAGTCATTAATTCAAATAATATCGCATTACTCAGGGAGTAATCAGTGCAAGTGATTTTCAAGCTGAGGTATTTCTTTGGCTTTTGACCAATTTGCATACTTTCCGCGTGTAGCAAATGATCGCCTCTAGAGTGAACTGGGAGTTATATGTTCTTTTACTTTGCGTTTCGCTTTCTCTTCGATGTTTTTTTCCCTTCTAGACCTTCTAGCAACGATTTTCCGAATATTTAGAACTCCTAAGGAGAAGAGGCCACGAGTAGCACCAATCCAGATGGACGCCTTTTTTGTTTTGTTTTGTTGAACTTTACTTGACAAACTTTAAAAAAAATATATGACTTTCATATATTCTTAACCGTCTTGACAAACTTTATTTACGAATGCCTCTTGAAGAGCACGTCCTTTATCACGTTTTCTAAATTTTTAGTATAAATGTCTCGGCAGAGAGGACAATTTATTTTCTACAAATGGCCTCTGGCATAAAGATGTACGCATCATTACCCTTTTTTTTAAGCTTGATATCGGAGGAATGCAGCCAGCCAGAACAAAAGAAGTTGTTTGCTAACTTTATGATTGTAGTATCTCAGCTTTGAGAGGCATCTGAGGTGTCATGGCTTTGTTTACATGTTTGGCTCCGTTTGAATTCTTAATGTTCTATCTCAGGAGCTCGAGTTATCTTAACATCTTTGTACGGAAGACGTTGTTAAGGGCCGGAAACGACATTCTGACAAAACTTGGAAATCCAGATATATGTCATCCGCTCTAAAACTTCCTGTTTAAATATCTATCGTTTTAATTTTCTGAAAAAAACCCCCCTAAATGTTGTATTCGCTGGACCAAGAAGGTTCCTGGTTAGACAACTGGTATTTTCTTTTCTTTAAACTCCTTTATTATGGTTGTTTGCATTAAAAAGAGAATATTTTATTAAGTTACGCGTGGTTAGCTCCTTTGTCGATAACTGTTGACGTCGTATATTTTCATTATCTGCTGTATCAGGCCCGAACCGCGTGCATCTTTCCCACACTTACTATCAGCTTACACACTGACGAAAAGTAATATGAAGTGGAAGCAATTCGCTAAGCTCTACATCGCTTTACTTCTGTTGGCCAACTTTCACCAGATGTCGTCCACGCCGTCGTCTAAAAAAGTAAACACAAGGACTAAGATGGACGACCCGACAGACAACTACGTATACGCGTGTCTCAAGTATGACTACCAGGTTCATGAAGCCTTAGCCTCTACAAAGCCACCCTTTGACAACTACTTCAACATTTCCCGTGCTATCTATCCATCCGAAGATGTATCCTCTAAACTTGTCAATATCTGGGTGCATTTTACCAACTCCTCTGTTAATCTGACAGAGGTAAATCAACTGAAGTTCATTTGGAGTCGGTCTTGTTTGTACGTGAGTGATCGATACCTCAGTCTAAGAGCAATGGGTCTCTATTCCTTGTTTACCATTTGGCCTGACAGGGGGCAAGAAGACCTTCATATAACACTATATCAGTTTTGTGATCCACGGCAGACAAAGAGAAAACTTATTAACTTTTTGTCAACGGTAAGACCAGAATTAGCATTCTTTGATTTCTCTCAGTAGTGCTTTCTATGTCTACATGTTTTAAATTTTGCATTCTTCGGCTACGTCGGACTCGGTGACGATTTCGGTAACTTTCGTACTCAGCGCAAACTTTTACTGCAGCCATGTCTCATTTCAGCAAAATTGAGCTGAGATTTGTTTCTCACGTTCGCATAGGTGACATTATTCAAGTAAGCTTAAAAGCTTTTTCCACAAGTATTATTAAGAAATTTACGGAAAGCGATACGAGGAAATAACTTCAGTGTTTAGTTTGTGACCGTTTTGCAACAAAAGAAGCTCGGATGTAAGCCAAAAACTTACGGGGCACTTTAAAAGTACAACAATATACTATCACACTTCAACACAAACGCTTCACGGATTTATTTGCACAACGCAGTCGCATAGCACTTTTGTCGAACATCTGTTAAAGTCCTCCGAAATGCTTTGGTATCGAAATATAATTTTAAAAAAAATTATATGGTTGTCGACTCCCTCCATGTAACAAAGTGGCACGAATAAACCCTGGGATATTTTTTAATTTGATCTGATTATTATATGGTTTTCCTTTCTCAACAGCTGGAGGACATCGCAATAAGTCCATCCTCGTTCAACCCATCGCTGAACAGTGTTGAATGTGTTGCAGACGGAGGTTACGAAAACCACCTCAAGAACATTAACAAGGCCTTCCCTCAAATCTGCTGGCTAATCCTATTTTCTTCTCTAATAGGAAGCAACTTAATACGCATGTTAGTTTTAAAATATTGTAGAGGTGAAAGTAGTAGGGCAAAATCGATTCTGTCATTAGTATTTGTTGTTCTCTTGTGTGGGACGATTGTTGCTATCGTCGCTGTTATTTACAGTAGGCAGGCCCAAATCATTTATCCTTTAACGTATCTTTTATTCATTCTTTTAATTTTTTTACTTTGTTCTGCTTATTACTTGTTTCAGGCGGGTAACGAAGATAACAAAATCAATATCGTGTGTTTAAAATTTGGAAATGACGGAAAACTACATTCGGAAAGTATATTACTATGGACGACATATCCCGGAATTTTTATAGCCGTTCATCACGCCCTATGGGTGATGATCGGTATTATTACTGAGCCTTATTGGGCCCTACCAGTGGCAACATCATTCATCATGTTTGCATTTTTATTTTATGTTTTGTCTGCGCTTTATTTCTCGCCGAAGTATCCCAAAAAGTGGGATACTTCGGCGAAAATTAACTTTGGATTCATGATTGCTGCAGGCATTTCCGTCGTGATGGTTCAACTCTCGTTTCTTTTAGTCGGAAATCAGTTCTTTGACGAAAGCCTGCTCTCAAGTGCTATTCAGAGCGCTTTGGTCGTCATGATAAGCATTTGGTTCCGCTCCATCAAAGACGAGAAAGCTAATCATCAAGTAAGTTATGCAGGTAACAACAATAGAAACATTGAAGCGAACGATACAGGTCTACAACTGCTTGATCGTGAGTGAATGTTTAGAATACTTCGTTAAACCTTTCACCCATCATAAAACGTGAATAAGCTTCAGGGTGTGTCAGAAACCACGAAAAACACTTCTTTGTGCGTCTTCTTCTCCTGTTGCGAGTGTGTAAAGATATTAAAGTATACCTTCGTCGATAGTTAGATTGATTTTTAGGTAAAAAATAGATCTTCCTTTGCAAAAGTACTGTGATGGATAGAAGCCAGCACAGGTTGTCTTGTTTCTCTCGAGGACATATTCCGAAGAAAATAAAGAAATGGCATCTTTGAGGTTTGAAACTTCTCTTGACCTTGTCATTTTTAAATCTGTATCCTTATCTCTGGCATGTATGTTTTAACTTAGGGCATAACTCAAATATAAAGTCAATGAGGAAAGATACATGTTCTGAAGAGTCAAACTAGATTGCGAGGGACGGAGTCATAACTTCTAAAATGAAGTGAACAGTACTAGCTTAAAAGCTGTGTGGTATAAACGATTATTCGCTCCAGCAATTGACATGCCGTGGATCACAACATTGTTATTCCACCACACATTTATTACGATTCACATTGCATGAGTGGCCACACGTGGCTCAGTGCGTGAGAGCTAGCACTGCAAGAGCCTATGAATGATTCATCGCGCCTCAGGAGGTGTCTAAGTTGCGGAACAGTCAAATGATTGAGTGATTTAAACATCCTCTTTAGTCTCGTTGATATCAAGTTACTCGCTCATTGAAATCAACTTGTCCGGAAATATTTTGTACAGTGGTTCTCCGTAGCTCTTTGGTAAGTTTTAAAACATCGTTCATTTGATCTTGAGCGCAGTTTCAGCGCTGCTTACTTGAATGAACGTCAATTGTATCCAGTTTGTTTATAAATACCACCATAATAAAGAGCAGCTTATCCGTCGATGCGACACTGATCAGTGGTGGCATTTGAATGGAGTTATCCTCAAATATTGTTTTTGATACTAGGGATATTCTATGTAAGTTTATCTCAACTAAACTGAAATGCGAAAAATGGTTCAAATTCGATCTAGAAAGTAACAGGAATACTTCCTATTGTGTCTCGATATTGGTCAACCATGCTGTCAAATGGCCGTGGTAGCCATGAATCAAGCAGCATCTGGGAACGTTTTGGGAGCAAACTGAGTGGAAATTAGTGCACTGTAAGCTTTCCTTGGTGTGCTTTTGAGTGTAGAAATGATTAATACAAGTGGCAAACGAGCAGGTGTGCTTTCCTTGGTGTGCTTTTGAGTGTAGAAATGATTAATACAAGTGGCAAACGAGCAGGTGTAAGTCGGCACTCTTAAGTGTAGCAACAATTATTCAGCTAAGGCGGAAATATTTATGCAAATTTCAGTAGAGATCGCTGCGCTCAAATATGTATATTGCGTTTTGACGTTGACGTTCGGTCGTTACACGGGAGAAATGTGAAGACATTCTCGAATTTAGGATTGAATCGACCACGCAAGTCATGTTGAAAAATCAGAGTGAATAATTTTTTTTTCACATTCTCCATTCTACGATTTAAACATGCGTTATGTCATTAGAACAAGAACATATTTGACCCGCCAGATATTTCCTCGACAAGTGAAGCTGAACAAGGCTAAGCCTAAAACTTGACAAAGCCAAGAAAACAATAAACCTAATGATTGAATGCACTGAGCAACGTTTCCTCGCAATTTTCGTCTGCCACACTATGAATAGAGTTGTTTTGAGGTCTAGTTACTCGTCCCGATCGGGTAGATGCAGGCTGGTTACTGCACGGCATGGAAATGTGTGGCTCCATCTCTGGATGGCCTATAAGGTCATCACGCAGTTTCTCCTCGTTCGATGAAGGATGTTCAAATCAAGGTAGAAGAGTTAAATTACTTCTCATGAAGTTTTTTTCATAACTGACATCTACATTGTAAGATCGTGGCTGCCCAGATTGCTATCTCTGACAGTTGCTGGTTTGCCTTAATACTAAACCCACGAGCGATTGCGTTACTGAAGGCAACCTGACTTGATTTTGCCCTCCTCCTATTCTCAGTCTTGTATTACTGGCCATCTGACTAAGCTGATGGGGTGTTCGCATACAAGGAAAAGCTTATAAGATTTGACGGCAGAACGTTAGCTTTGAACTCGTGTGGCTTTCTCCACCAAACGAAGGCATGGAACTGTTGAGAAAAGAGCTTCCCTAGAGAGAAACATTGCTCCAACCCCTTGATATTTTTGAGATACAGACCATCATCTTTTTGCAAGCTATAACTTTATTTATCTCTCGCGAGTTAAAGAATTGTTCTGAGGAAGGTAAAACAATGATGAGTTGTGATGCATTCAAGGCTTATGAATACATTTTCAAACTTTAGGTTAGGCACTGGATGTCACTGACAAAAGATAATTTTATAGCGTAAAAAACGAAAACTTTCGTAGTTTGCTTCTTTCCCATCGCACATAGTAGTAAAACTTCAAATTAAGCTTATATCGTGTATACATTTCCTTGGTTGAAATGAATTCCTGGAAAATTAAGTATTAAACGCTGGCCCTAAAAATCCCAAATTGATGTAAACCGACGATAAGGCACGGGAAAAAATGATTGGTTTATCCCTTTCAGTTGATCCCTACCATCATACACGTCGCTTGGCCAATCAGCGTAACTCAGAAGATAATAGACGATTTTATATGGTGGCCAGTAGCATGATAATCCAAGAAAAGACCGAACTTTATCACCCAATTTTTAATGAATATACGCAGGGATTCTGAGTCTTATTAAAGAAAGAGGTATTTTCTAAATCTTTTGAGATAAATGATGGGTATACCAGCGATATTCACTCCACAAATTTTGTAAATTTATTGATTTCATCGTGCCTATTGTTATCAGTAATTGCTGTTTGGTTGGCTGACGAATTATTGATTTGCGAGTTACTCATGCGATTGTGCATGCACAGTACCTCACCTGGCCCCCCATTTATTGGCTGAGATATAATTTCTCGACTTGATACTGCATTACAGCTTGTCGCGCATACTAAAATATAGATTCTCGTATCATCGACGGAGGAAGACGGATGTGTTGTAACGGCTTGATATGCTCACAAATTTTTTAAGGTATAAGACAACGATGTGCGCTCGCTGCTAGCCCCGGGGTTAATGTTAGAATCACCAGGAGAAGGTTTTTTTTACTTTTACTCATAAACTGAAACACTCTCTTTCAGCCTGGAAAAATCAGCGGAATCTTTAACATGGGAGTATTTGACAGTCTGTTGCAACCCCCAGAGAGGAAGGCGTTGTTTATGGTGGGAACTGGAAATAGCGAAAGAAAGGGGATTGGATGTGCAGTAGAATGTGAGGGGAAATATTATGTGCTCACGTGTAGAGATGTTGCCAGCCCTGAAGACGCAGGAGCAGACAATGAGCACGAATTTATCTTAGATCGCTATTGTTCGAATAATCCAAAGCATGTCGGCAAACATCGCCCGAAAGCCCTAGATATTCTGTGCGATGACAAGCGTAGTTTTCTCCTTCTCCCAGATGACGAAGTTTTGTGTTCGCATTTCCTTTTGAGTGCAGACAGTAAAAAGAAAGAGAAGGTTTACTCATATTTTCTCAGTGATGATGGAAAACGAGCACAATCTATTGATTGGTCGTACAATAACAACACGAGGAAGTACTCCATTGGGCGTGACCTCGACAGAAAAAACTTTCTTGGTTCACCGGTGCTATATTCTGATAAGACGGATAAAACCTTTGTGGTTGGAGTGGTTGGTAAGGAAGAGAACACTTATCACCCAATTTTCTTCGAGAGCGCCTCACTTCCTTATCCTGGTAAGAAGCTTACTTAATCCTTACTTAGTTTGCTTCCTTTAAGTAACTTAGATTATAGTCCCACAATCATTGGGGTTTCATGTTCATGTCTTCATTGCAATAAGCTTTAAAAAGAAGCACTCTTAACGTTTCGCTCCGATCATTTCTCGTCGGGATAAATTTTCAATTTGGAAACCAAAAAAATAATGATACGAATAATGGTCATGGTCATTATACCAAATAAAGTGGTAATACGAGGAGTCTTTAAGACATTAAGGAACAGGCAAAAAAGTCTAGACCTCGAAACTACCCCCCCGGAGTGGCCCGCCCAGCCGGAGTTTATCCCGGTTACCTTAACATGAAGCGACTAGGAGTATTACTACTCCCACCTGGATGAGCTGTCAGATCATCGCAGGGTTACGGCCCCAGAATTTCATCAGGCTTTCCCACAATTATAATTAGCGAGCACCCATTTTTACTCCCGATTGTTGAGAGGCACTGTGAAAATAAAGTGTTTTGCCCAAGAACACAACACAATGACCCAGCCAGGTCTCGAACTCAGCCCTCTCGACCGGGAAAAGAAGTCCTTAACATAACAGCCATGATTCCTTAGTGTCAAAAGAAACCACTTGATTTTAATGCCTAGCATCCTTCCTGCAGGTGCTCCCAGTCAAGTATATATTGTACCGGTTCCACGTGAAATAACTGAGGACAGGCTGACGTTGACGTGGGCAGCACCTAAAGACAATGGAGGAGTTATAACAGAGTATACAGTCTATCAAAGAAAAGTTAATGGCTCACCTTCTGACTGGGAAAGAAAGCCAACTGGTCTACACTCTCTTCAGCATGAAATCGTTGGTTTAGAAAGGGGGAAAATATATGAATTCCAAGTAACTGCCACAAACCGGTATGGTGAGAGCCCAAAAGGGGAGGACGCGACAAGGGGAGTAAGAGTGTTGGGTAAGGCTCTCAAATGTGGCTTTAAACTACAACCAAATGAAATTAACAAAACTAAATGAAATAAGATTAAGAATATTTTATATACATGAATCTGCACTGTATGGAATGGGAAAGGGTTGTGGTAAAATACTTTGTTCGGCTGAAACCGCCGATGATGCGAGGACTTCTTTTTTTTTTTTCTCACGATTGAAAATGTAAATGAGAATGTGTTTTTAATATGTTTATGATTCCCTCTGCCTTCCACTCTTTCTGAAACCTGATGGGTGGCTCTTTGAGTAATAGAAAAAAAGCAAGAAGCATCAGGGTACTGAACTGTAGTTGAACTTTCCTAACATGTACTTGATTCCTTGTAAAACTTTCCTTTAAAGAACTCTTTATAACATTTCGTTATTCCCGAGGTATTTCACCATTGTCTGATAATCAGTATTGATACACAAAGACGTAGATAGAAAATCATCTCGCACTAAGAATCTTAACCTACGCCTAATTTTGTCGTAATTGAGGCTCAGAGTGAAAAGCGTAGTTTATAAACTCTTTCAAAAAATTTTCATTCAAGATTTCCGAAAAGTATTCTAGGTCTAGTTAGATTTGCAGTCAAGAAGTATTTTAAGGAATGAGTTTGGCAAAGAAGTCAGTAATGGCTCCGAGGCATATCCAGTATTCAGGATTATGATAGTAATAATACACAGATCAGAAAAGGTTGATGATGATTCCATCTTTTCTGCAGGTGTTCCCAATCAAGTGAAAATTGTAGAATATCCAAGTGAAATAATTGAAGACAGAGTGACCTTGACGTGGAGAGCACCTGAAGACAATGGTACAGTTGTAACACAGTATACAGTCTATCAAAGAGAAGTCAATGAAGATGGTTCACGTTCTAACTGGAAAGGAGAGGCAACTGGTCGAGACGTTCTTCAACATGAAGTCGTTGGTTTAGAAAGCGGGAAAATGTATGAATTCCAAGTAACTGCCACAAACCGGTGTGGTGAGAGCACAAGGGTAGAGAAGGGCCCAAACATAGTCCAAATTGCATGTGGTAAGTTCCAGCCATTTTAAGTAACAATTAGATTGCATTATTGATTCAAATTTTTAATTTAGGGTACAGTGGTAGGAACCGAACACGGAGCCTTTAAAATCCGTCTTTAAACTTCACACGGTGAACATTCAAACATTTAAAAGCTGGCGAAATGATAAAACGACACTGGTAGTCCTATCCTGCCCACGACTCACTTTCTTTAGAAATTGTAAGAGATGCGCCGGAAGCAATCATTTCATCTTTTTACTTGGTGGCTTACTGGCTCTGCGAGTTATAATTAGGCTTTCTGATCTAAGCCTTCGCGGTCACAGGACATAAACAAAGAAATAGTTGGCATTTCGAAACACTGATCCTGAGTGAGATGCCGAAAAATCAGGGACCAGCGAATTTCTATAGCCTGGGAGAGTGAGGAGTGGTATATTTTGCGGGGATCACGTGGTTTTCCGGATGAACGGGTGAACTGTAGCCGCCAACAGGGTATAAAGGGGGGGGGGACCATGATAAATTGACGACTAATTAACTGACAACGAAGAGGGTATCATCAGAATATTGCAGAGACTTATGGGGGAGTCAGCTAAATCTTTATCGTGACACGACTAAAATCCTCCAATTCCAACCACAATCCCCCTGAAGGCGAAAGATAATGATTGGTTGGTCACTTCTCCATGCACGACCAAGATTCTCTCTGTGGGGGGTCCTTAAAATCACTAAACCCTTATGACTTTCAGAGGTTCGAATGTAATGTTAGTTATAATGAAACCAACATTTTACAGACATTTTTAAATTTCCTCCTTTTTCATAGTTTCACCTGATTCATTATTGGAGTTTTTGCTATTCAAGATTTTTTCGTTTCTCAACAACACGATCTGGTCTTGGCGGAATTGGACGGAAGGTATTTGCTACAGTAGTTTACGTGTATTTCGTAAATGACTTAGGGACTGGAGATTCGGATGCGTCTTCTGGCTAGCTCAACTGTGAGAGTGCCTGACTGTCGTGGCTATTCTCTGATGGTTATCTTTATTTGGTATATACTAAAACAGTGGATAGTTTCGAAGGCGCGCTCTGATTGACTATGCAAACTCCTAGACTTGCTCTTAATTAAGGTGCCGGTATGTGATAAACATAGGACACAGATCTGGACAAATCTTTGATTATCTATCTTTTTAATTATCTCGTGCCTCTCCATAGGTTGAAGAGGTCATGGACATCGAAAGTGAACCAGACAATTGGTTAGAGTAATTTAACGTAGTCTCAAACAATATTGGCCGCGGCATTTAAAACAATTTACATCAGTTTTAATTTACGTTACATATGAAACAATGGATGGCGTCGAAGCTGCGCTCTGATTGGGTACTCAAACTCTAAATATATATCCTTTGCTATTTATCTCCTATAACTTGTGCGGGATTTGCGCCTAAAAATAAATATTGTCATCGTTGTTAGTATAAATGAGTTAAAATCGTTTCTTGCGTGATTGTCTATACTAAAATTACTAGTCACCTTTGAGCAACTGAAGAGACAAAATCGCGTGTCGCCAATTTTTTGGTATAATGACAATAATAAACTGACATTTTCATATATGCGGGTGTATACTGGAAAATTATAAGAAAGTATTTTTGACAGAGGCGGATTTCTTTGGCGAAAGTCTTATTCAAAGATGACAGCTTAAGATTTAAGTTTGCAAACATCTTCAACTGATAGGGGCTAAAAATGTTCATCAAAACAGGTCGGATTAACTTGGATGTTAATGTGATGATAAAACCAGTCATCAGAACCAAAGGATAGAAATTCAACCAGGACACCTATCATTTGAATCCCAATTGACGTTGTTTTAATTGTAGAATGATTGAATACCGAAGAGCTCAAGTGGTATACCTCAGTAGACTATTGTTATTTTAGGGTAGGGGCAGATGGGTAATGGCTCAGATTCTGACACTGAATTGATCCAGACGCAGTTAAAACTTCGAATTGATCTGCGCATAAGCTATGTGATGTGTCTTGTCCATCTCACTTAGTCCTTGCAAAGTTAAAAGTTGGCGTGAACATTCATAGGGCCATCGTTGGTGCCCATTTAATGAAAGACGCTTTTTTATGTAAGGCTCATTTTTTTACAGTCATCAAGTTGATCCAAAGCAAACGTTTCAATAGAAATTGTCTTGCCCATAAAAAATTACTCTGTTCCATGTGGCATGGACATTTTTCGGGTTTTGATTTGGGGGGCTTTGCAGATTGGCCTGAAGCTGCAAGGTCGAAAAACTTTTGGGGATACGTAGGTGGGTTAGGGTAGGTTTTTCATTCAGTTTCCTTACTGTATCAGTCCTTATGGGCGGAAAACTTTACGATTTACTAGAATTCAATTAAATGAATCAAATGTGTGGAGTGCGCTGTCTGTTAGACTTTTATAGTAGTTTGGAATGTTTTTTTTCTTTACCTGATGATTTGTAATTTCCAGCAATTCGCAAACTAAATTTTTAGCGGAAATTCAGGTTATAATTTCGGCAGTCCAGTAATTTAAAAGACCCGCCTTCAAAATATTCATACCATATGGTATCACATACACTTTACAACGGGTGGGCGTCCCATATCTATAGTTAAAAGTATCTAATTATTACACATGCAAATTGAATAATGAAAAAAAAGAAAAACACTTCTTTGTACGTCTTCTTCTCTTGCTGCGAGTGTGTAAAGATATGAAAGTATACCTTCGTCGATAGTTAGGTTGATTTTTGGGTCAAAAATAGATCTTCCTTTGCAAGATTACCGTGTGATGGATAGAAGCCAGCACAGGTTGTCTTGAGATAATTTTCGGCCGAGTCAGATGGCTTATTTATTACCTAAAAATTACATCATGTATTACAATTGTTTGTTATTTACTGAATGTTCACCTGTGAAGCTATAGAAAAATTAAGAGCACGATAAAAATGTTAAATGCTGGGAGGAAGAGAGTCGACCTTGCTGAGTGTGTCAGGTCTCGCGAACTCGAGAAATAGTCTACTCCTTACACTGATCACTGATGGCTCCGTGATTTCCCACCTAAAGTCGTGATGCCAAGAACTCTCTTGTCCTGTTGTTATCAAGGTCGCCAGTTAGCCTTGAGAACGTTTTGCGATTACTGCTCACTCCATTTTAGAAGTTATGACTGTGTCCCTCGTAATCTAGTTTGACTCTTCAGAACATGCGTCTTTCCTCATTGACTTTATATTTGAGTTATGCCCTAAGTTAATCCAAGAAACCAGGTAGGAGACAGACACTTAATTCATTTTGGGGCAATTTTTTTCTCAAGGACATATTCCGGAGAAATAAAGAAATGGCATCTTTGAGGTTTGAAACTTCTCTTGACCTTGTCATTTTTAAATCTGTATCCTTATCTCTGGCATATATGTTAAGCTATGTGGTATAGACGATTATTCGCTTCAGCAATTGACACGTGGTGGATCAAAACATTTTTATTCCGCTACACATTTATTACGATTTACATTGCATGAGTGGCTACACGTGGTTCAGTGCGTGAGAGCTAACGCATCACGCCTTAGGAGGTGTCTAAGTTGCGGAACATTTAAATGAATGAGTGATTTAAATGTCCTGTTTAGTCTCGTCGATATCAATACATTGATGCACTGACTTTGTCAAGTTTCTCGTTCATTTTCATCAACTTTGGAAATACTGCATTTTGTACAGTGGTTCTCCCAGCTCTTTGGGTAAGTTTTTAAAACATCGTTCGTTTGATCTGAGCACAGTATCAACGCTGCTTACTTAAAGGCGGATAAATGTCGACTGTATCCAGTTTGTTTATAAATACCACTATGATAAAGACCAGCTTATCCGTCGATGCAATACTGATCAGTAATGGTATTTGGGTGGAGTTATCCTCAAATATTGTTTAATATACTAGGTATATTCTATGTAAGTTTATCTCAACTAAATTGAAATGCAAGAAATGGTTCAAATTCGATCACGATATTGGTCAACCATATTGGTCAACCATACTGTTAAACGGCCGTGGTAGCCATGAATCAAGCAGCATCTAGAAAAGTTTCGTGAGCAAACTGAGTGGAAATTAGTGCACTGTGAACTTTCCTGGGCGTGCTTTTGAGTGTAGAAATTATTAATACAAGTGGCAAACGAGCAGGCCTAAGTCCGCACTCTAAAGTGTAGAAACAATTATTTAGCTAAGACGGAAATATTTATGCAAATTTGAGTAGAGAACGCTGCGCTCAGGAAATATATATTGCGTTTTGGCGTTAACTTTCGGTCGTTACACGGGAGAAATGTGAAGACATTCTCGAATTTAGGATTGAAGAAGTGAATCATCGTTTTTCTCACATTCTCCACTCTCCGGTTTAAAAATGCGTTATGTCACTAAAACTTGACAAAGCCAAGAAAACAATTAACTTAATGGTTGAATGCATTGAGCAACGTTTCTTCGCAATTTTCGTCTGCCGCACTACGAATAGAGTTGTTTCGAGGTCTAGTTACTCGGCCCGATCGGGTAGATGCAGGCTGGTTACTCAGAAACATTGCTCCAACCCCTTGATATTTTTGCGATACAGACCATCATCTTTTTGCAAGCTATAACTTTATTTATCTCTCGCAAGTTAAAGAATTGTTCTGAGGGAGGTAAAACAATGATGAATTGTGATGTATTCAAGGCTTACAAATACATTTTCAAACTTCAGGTTAGGAACTGGATGTCACTGACAAAAGATAATTTTATAGCGCAAAAAACGAAAGCTTTCGTAGTTTGCTTCTTTCCCATAGCACATAGTAGTAAAACTTCAAATTAAGCTTATATCGTGTATACATTTCCTTGTTTAAAATGAATTCCTGGGAAATCAAGTATTGAACGCTGGCCCTAAAATTCCCAAATTGATGTAAAATGATTGGTTAATCGCTTTTAGTTGAACCTTACCATCATACATGTCGCTTAGCCAATCAGCGCAAGCCAGAATATAATAGACGATTTTATATGGTGGCCAATAGCATGATAATCCAAGAAAAGACCGAACTTCATTACCCAATTCTTAATTAATATACGCAGGGATTCTGAGTCTGATTAAAGACAGAAGTATTTTCTAAATCTTCTGAGATAAATGATGGGTATGATAAGAATACCAGCGATATTCACTCCACAAATTTTGTAAATTTTTTTATTTCATGGTGCCTATTGTTATCAGTAATTGCTGTTTGGTTGGCTGACGAATCATTGATTTGCGAGTTACTCATGCGATTGCACATGCACAGTGCCTCACCTGGCCCCCCATTCACTTGCTGAGATATAATTTCTCAACTTGATACCGCATTACAGCTTGTCGCGCATACTAAAATATAGATTCTTGTATCATCGACGGACGAAGACGGATGTGTTGTAACGGCTTGATGTGCTCACAAATTTTCTAAGGTATAGGACAACGATGTGCGCTCGCTGCTAGCCTCGGGGTTAGGGTTAGAATCATCAGGAGGAGGTTTTTTTTACTTTTACTCATAAACTGAAACACTCTCTTTCAGCCTGGAAAAATCAGTGGAATCTGTAACATGGGAATAATTGACGGTCTGTTGCAACCCCCAGAGAGGAAGGCGTTGTTTATGGTGGGAACTGGAAATAGCGAAAGAAAGGGGATTGGATGTGCAGTAGAATGTGAGGGGAAGTATTATGTGTTCACGTGTAGAGATGTTGCCAGCCCTGAAGACGCAGGAACAGACAATGAGCACGAATTTATCTTCGATCGCTATTGTTCGAATCATCCAAAGCATGTCGGCAAACATCGCCTGAAAGCCCAAGATATTCTGTGCGATGACAAGCGTAGTTTTCTCCGTCTCCCAGATGGCGAAGTTTTGAGTTCGCATTTCCTTTTGAGTGCAGATGATAAAAAGAAAGAGAAGGTTTACTCATATTTTCTCAGTGATGATGGAAAACGAGCACAATCTATTGATTGGTTGTACGATAATACTACAAGGAATTACTCTTTATCCGTTGATCGTGATCTCGACAGAAAAAACTTTCTTGGTTCACCGGTGCTATATTCTGATAAAAACGATAAAACCTTTGTGGTTGGAGTGGTTGGTAAGGAAGAGAACACTTACTACCCAATTTTCTTCAAGAGCGCCTCACTTCCTATTCGTGGTAAGAAGCTTTAGAAACAATTGTCTCCCTTTCCTTTTCCTCCGAAAATAATGACTCAGGGAGAGCCACAAATGACGTATATGATTCTGTCTTTCTGCGCATAAAGGACAAGTTACCTTTATCGTCAGACATAAAGCTGTGATAATAAAGCTCTAGATTATAGTGTATACACGGAACCTCCCAATCCCCTCCTCCCCCCTCCATTACGATATCACCTGTATTGAAATCCTTAATAATTATGCTTCCTTAAAATAACTTAGATTATAGTCCGACAATCATTAAGGTTTCATGTTAGCATGGCGTCATTGCAATAACCTTTAAAAGAAGCTCTCTTAACGTTTCGCCCCGATCATTTCTTGTCGGGACAAATTTTCAATTTGAACACCAAAAAATCACAATACGAATTATGGTCATGGTCATTATATCAAATAAAGAGGTAATACGAGGAGTCCTTTAGACATTAAGGAATAGACAAAGAAGTCTAGACCTCGAAACTCCCCCCCGGATTGGCCCACCCAGCCGGAGTTTATCCCGGTTCCCTTAACATGAAGCGACTAGGAGTATTACTACTCCCCCCTGGGTGAGCTGCCAGTCCATCGCAGAGTTACAGCCCCAGAATTTCATCAGGCTTTCTTGACAGTTACAATTAGCTAGCAAACATTTATACTTCAGGGTGGAGAGAGGCATCGTGAGAGTCAAGTATTTTGCCCAAGAACACAACACATTGACCCAGCCAGGTCTCGAACCAAGACCTCTCGACCGGGCAAACAAGTTCCTAACATAACAACCACGATTCCCGAGTGTCAAAAGAAACCACTCGCATCCAAAAAGGATGATTTTAATCGCTAGTGTCCTTCCTGCAGGTGCTCCCAATCAAGTACATATTGAAGCAGTTCCATTTGAAATAACTGAGGACAGGGTGACGTTGAAGTGGACAGCACCTAAAGACAATGGAGCAGTGATAACAGAGTATACAGTCTATAGAAGAGAAGTCAATGAAGATGGTTCACGTTCCGACTGGGAAGGAAAGCGAACTGGTCTAGACATTCTTCAGCATGAAGTCGTTGGTTTAGAAATCGGAAAATTGCACGAATTCCAAATAACCGCCAAAAACCGATGTGGTGAGAGCCCAAGAGGGGGGAAAGCGACAATCAGAGTGAAAGTGTTGGGTAAGGTTCTCAAACGTGGCTTTAAAATACAACTAAATAAAAACAACTAAACGAAATGAAATTAGAATATACAGATGACCCGACCAGGTCACGAACTCAGACCTCTCGACCAGGCGAATAAGTCCCTAACATAATAACTATAAAATTCCTGAGTGTCAAAAGAAACTACTTGTATCCAAAAAGGTTGATTTTAATCGCTAGGATCCTTCCTGCAGGTGCTCCCTATCAAGTACATATTGTAAGAGCTCCACGTGAAATAACTGAGGACAGGGTGACGTTGAAGTGGACAGCACCTAAAGACAATGGAGCAGCAATAAAAGAGTACACAGTCTATAAAAGAGAAGTCAATGAAGATGGTTCACGTTCTGTCTGGGAAGGAGAGGCAACTGGTCCAGACGTTCTTCAACATGAAGTCGTTGGTTTAGAAAGCGGAAAAATGTATGAATTCCAAGTAACTGCCACAAACCGGTGTGGTGAGAGTTTAAGGGTAGAGGAGGGCCCCAACATAGTCCAAATTGCATGTGGTAAGTTCTAGCCATCTTAAGAGAGGATGTCAGCATCCATCGCACAAATTTGAAATATTGTGGCAAGTCGCCCAAAATTCGATTTCTCTCCTACTTTCATATTTTGTAGCCCAATATGTCCTAAATAATTGTGGTGTAGTTTTTTTGTGAAAATATATTTTATTTTTCGAGAAATGATTTTTTTCGTTCGACCGCTCAAATATGCAAAATTTCACCGTGAATATTACCCGAGTTGAGTGACCTCATGTAACAAATATATACTTAACCACCGGTATTTCTGTCAACAAAATCCTCTGTTTTTTCATCTAAACTTAATGCCTTGTCATTATTGGAGCTGTCAAACTAATATTTATTTTTTGGTGAGTATTTTTGTCCGACATACTTTTCCTATGTCGAAAAGTAACATCAAAACAAAGACAGTTTTAACAATGATCGATATGACAAAATCTACTTAGCTTCGAGCTTTTAAAAGACAAAAGAGAGCTTAAATAGTTACTGTAAAAATTTCTTTGTGTATTTGTGTTGTTCTATCTTGAGACGGACTCAGGGTCCGGCAAAATTTACTTGCTAGCGACAATGAAATATGCATGGTGTGCCTACTTGTCGCCACCGTTTACTGGCATAAATCCCTACAATTTGTACAAAAATCTAACATAACACTCTTACCTTGTTTATCTACGATTTTATTAGCTGTTTCGATTATTATAGAACGCCTGGGTATTACTTTTTGACAGGAGCCCAGGTTTTGCGTTGTGTTTTCCCCTCTCCATTTACATCATAAGCTAGTCACGCAACAATTTATACTGACACTGATGAATATTTACCCTGAACAGAGATTTTTGTTTATGTTGAATTGAAAATATCAGAATATATGCTGCATATTTACCCTGAACAGAGATTTTTGTTTATGTTGAATTGAAAATATTGAAATATGTGCTTTTTTTGGTCTCTACTCGTTGTTTCAGCGGTAGCGAAGCAGTTAAAAGCGGGTTGTTGCTTCAACGTTATTGGAGTTTATAGTATTTAGACAGGTGAGCAAAGCGTGATGCTCTGGGAATAAAAAACTTTAGGGGCCTTTTACATGATATCGGAGTGGTTTTGTTCAAGAACGAGTTCATACCGGTTGCCACATGATACCAGAGTAAATTTTTTCGAAACGAGTCATTTCTGATTGAGTTTATTGGAGTTTTCATTCCAGAACGAAACACTCATTCTTGTACCTGTATAATGTAAACGCGGTACGACTCCTATATCTGTGTGAAGCCTCTTTAGGAGCGAGGGAAGCATAGAAAAAGACAGAAAAGGACATAAATAATTGTTTTTACTGGCTAAATTATCTTGCATGTGAACGCAGTATGAAATTAATTTCGTTCTGGGACGAAACTCATTTTGGAATTATGTAAAAGGCATCTTAGGGACGGAACATAAGATTTTTGATGTGGGGGGCGACTGAGGCAAATCACTTCTTCTTTTTTTTTTCCCACCGGGGGGAATATCTTCGTTTTTAGGTGCTGACCGGGGGGGAGAAGGCGATCGAAAATGGGTAAGGATGCTCGTCGTACCTTTTAGCGGTCAAAAAAACCAGAGACCCTGGCTGGTACGTTCTGGGGTGTTTTTCGCTCAATAAAACACCTGAAATAAGCATTACTAGGACGATTTTAATGACCTGACTTGAGCCTCTAGAGCACATTGATCAAGGAATTTTTACTTTTGGGATTTTTCAATTTTTTGCTTTTGAATTGGTACTTTTTAGGGTTAGACATCAATTGTTGCCACTCCCACACAGATAAGACTCAGGTACCTTTCATCATTTTACAGGGGTCGTTTTCGAAATTACCGGCGCACACCCCGCCCTCTTATGTAAATGTTCCCCTGGAGGTGATGATACGTGCAGCACACTTGAAATTTAGCAAGGACAAATTTTGATGTGATTTTGGGTTAAGAGAAACAGGTTTTGTCAGCGTCTAGCAGCTTGTGCGGAGGGCCCTTTAAGCCGTGTGCATGATTACGCGTCCCGCCAAACAGCGGGAAGCCAACAAAGTGTTCAGACATAAGTATAGAAAACTCCACCACTGTCTTGATTTTTGGTAGCCTATTGACCTATTCCCAATCGAGACTTAAGTCTTTCGTCACGTGTTATTTTGCTCACTGTGGTAAGTAGCCTACTTACCAAAGCCAGGCTGTATGAATTTTCTAGACATCTTCAGGAGTACTACCTGTGATACACGCTTACCAATTCCCCTATCGGCTTTTGGAATCGACTTAACCTTACCATTGCAATAGCCGGACGCCTCTTTACATCTACTAATAGAACCACAACTCTACCCAACTTCTATGTGTGGGGTAAATTGTAAAATCGTCGATATCTGTTAGCGTCTCGAAGATGCCGGCAAGCGACAAAATAAGATGAACTTCATTTTCTGGATCTGAAAACTTGCAACTCCGCAAGTGACTTGAAACGTCTTTTTTACAACTATGCAAGGGAACGACTTGAGATATGCAACTTCGGTCTTCTCGATGACTAAACCCACAAGTTCCACCAGCGAACGATTCAATTGAACAGCAAATCTCCTTGTTGGCATGTAAGATAAGATGCTTACACAACAGATAATTACCTAAATCAGTATGTCGCTTGTCAATCAAATTGACTTTTGTAACCATTCTTTGACTTCGGCCGGCAAAGGAATCATTGATGGATCTTTAGTTTTCTAAATGCAGTAGTTAACTTTTAAGCTTAGACATTAGAAATATTTCGTGGATCGATGATCAATTTTCTTAAGACGACAATTTCTTCGGTAATTTAATCATGGTAGTTTTTCTAGACATCATGCAAAGAGGAAAAAAAACCCATCTCTTGTTATTTCGGAGATTGATACATCTTTGAATTTATACGTGTCACGCTTGTCACGCAACTGATATAATAAGATGAAGAAGATATAAAAACTGGAACTCAAATCTGGCTAGAATGTGATAAAGCATAACGTGATCATTGAAACAGCTTGTAAAATCATAAATAAACAAGGTAAGAGTGTTATGTTAGATTTTTTTACAAATTTTAGTGATATATACCAGTAAACGGTGGCGACAAGTAGGCACATTTTGCCGGACTTTGAGTTCGTCTCAAGATAGAACAACACAAATACATAAGGAAATTTTAACTGTAACTATTTAACCATCCTTGTGTCTTTTAAAAGCTGGAAGCTCAGTAGATTCTGTCATATCGGTCATTGTTGAAACTGTCTTTGATGCTACTATTCGAAACAGGAAAATTATGTCGGACAAAAATATTCACCAAAAAATAGATATTACTTTGCCAGCCTCAACAAAGACAGGTGGTTAAGTTTAGATGATAAAACAAAGGATTATGTTGACAGAAATAACGGTGGTCAAGTATATATTTGTTACATGAGGTCACTCAACTCGGGTAATATTCACGGTGAAAATTTGCATATTTGAGCGGTCAAACGAAAAAAATCATTTCTCGAAAAGTAAAACATATTTTAACAAAAAAACTACTCCACAATTATTAGGATATATTGGGCTACAAAATATGAAAGTAGGAGTAAAAGCAAATGTTGGGTGACTTGCCGCCTATCCTACCCATGACTCACAATTTTGGAAATAACGGAACGTTTTGTTGGATTTTGTAGGTCATATTAGCAGGGTAGGCTCCTGATATTCATTATTTCATTTTCATAACTTGAATTTTTCTTTAGAAATTGCATGAGCTGCGCCGGAAAAATAACCGCAAGGAGCGATCATTTCACCTTTTTATTTGGTGGCTTGCTGGCTCCGCGAGTGATTTTTAGGCTTTGTGCCTGATAATAAGCCTTCACGGTCATGTGAAACAATCAAAGTGCTCTGTGAGCAAACTCGTGAATTGACAGTTGACTTATATGATTTTTTGGATTATGTTTAATGTTATCTGATTTAGGGAATTTTGTGGTTGATTGTCATATTTAGAGTACGAGCAGTAGTTCAGTGCTAATGTAGCAATGAAACAAAGTAACGTTGGGATAAGAAGGCATTACATCGGATTGTTTTCAAGTTCAGGGTTTGTAAATTACAATTTTATAAAAAACGAAGGTTGTTCTCTTAATCAGTGTGAATCCTCGCACGCCTGCCAGTCGCTGGCGCCGCTTGTTGAAACTAAAACGAAAAAAAAACTCTATTAAGATTATCATTGGCTTCTTTTTCACCCCACCATTATTCTTAGAAACAAATGTCGCCATTTCATTTGTTTATTTCTCGCCAAAAACTATCAAATGCACTCGAAAGCCTAAAATCGAAAAAAATTTTACAGGAATCGACCGATCGAGCGAGCGAGCGAGTGCCACTCTCCGCATCAAATATTTACAACTCGCTCTTGCGCATGCGCGCAATTCACGCGCTGAAAAAGGATATAGTTGGCATTTCGAGGCAATCCTGAGTGAAATGCCCAAAAAATTAGGGACAAGTAAATATTTTTATCGCCTGCGAGGGGGAGGAGGGGTAGATTTTGCGGGATCACGCGGTTTTTAGGGTGAACGGAAATGGGGGATCAATGGTCGCCAACAGAGTATAAAGGGAGGGGGGGGGACTGCAATAAATTGATGACCTATTAACTGACAACGAAGAGGGGTATCATCAGAATAGTGTAGGGCCTTATAGGGGAGTCAGCTAAATTTTTATCGTGACACAAGCAAAATCCTCCAATTCCAACTCACACCCCCTCCGAGGCGAAAGGTAATGATCGGTTAGTCACTTCTCCATACAAGACCAATATTCTCTCTCTGAAGGGTCCTTAAACCCTTATGACTTTCAGAGGTCCGAATGTAATGTTAATTATAGTGAAACCAGCATTTTATAGACATTTTTTAAATTTCCTCATTTTTAAAGTTTCACCTGATTCTATTGGAGTTTTTGCTGTTCAAGAGCTTTTCGTTTCTCATCAACATGATCTGGTATTGGTGGAATGGGACGGAAGGTATTTGTGACCGTAGATTACGTGTATTTAGTAAATGACTTAGGGATTGGAGATTCGGATGCGTCTTCTGGCTAGCTCAACTGTGAGAGTGCCAAACTGTCGTGGCTATCCTCTCATGGTTAACTTTATTTGGTATATACTAAAACAGTGGATAGTTTCGAAGGCGCGCTCTGATTGACTATGCAAACTTCTAGACTTGCTCTTAATTAAGGTGCCGATATGTGATTCTTTGATTATCTATCTTTTTAATTATCTCGTGCCGTTGCATAGATTGAAGAGGTCATGGACATCGAAAGTGAACCAGACAATTGGTTGGAGTAATTTAACGTAGCCTCAAACAATATTGGCCACGGCATTTAAAACAATACACATCAGTTTTATTTTACGTTAAATTAGTACCTATGAAACAATGGATAGCGTCGAAGGCGCGCTCTGATTGGCTACTCAAATTCTAAATATATATCCTTTGCTATTCACCTCCTATAACTCGTGCAGGATTTGCAGGATTTGCGCCTTAAAATAAATATTGGGATCAGCAATGTCGTTAGCGTCATGTTCTGTAAATAGAAAACACAGTGTGGGGGGGGGAAGCAGTTAAAGCTTCCAATTGATCTGCGCATAAGCTATGTGATTTGTCTTGTCCATCTCATTGAGTCCTTGCAAAGTTAAAAGTTTACTGGAACAGATGTATTTATCACACTTTATTGTAAAATCACCCTCGGTAACAAACCTTAGATTAACTTCTTTATAAGTTAACGTGGACATTCATGGGGCCATCGCTGGTGCCCATTTAATAAATGACGCTTTTTGATGTAAGGCTCGTTTTTTTAGTCATCAAGTTGCTCCAAAACAAATATTTAAATAGCAATTGTGTCTTGCCCGTAACAAATTACTCTGTTCCATGTGGCATGGACATTTTTCGGCTTTTGATTTGGGGGGCTTTGCAGATTGGCCTGAAGCTGCAAGGTCGAAAAACTTTTGGGGATACGCAGGTGGGCTAGGGTAGGTTTTTTCATTGAGTTTTCTTACTGTATCATTCCTTATAGGTGGAAAACTCTACGATTTACTAGAATTCAATTAAATGAATCAAATGTGTGGAGTGCGCTGTCTGTTAGACTTTTATAGAGTTTGGAATGTTTCTTTTCTTTCCCTGATGATTTGTAATTTCCAGCAATTCGCAAACTAAATTTTGTGCGGAAATTCAGGTTATAATTTCGGCAGTCCAGTAATTAAGACCCGCCTTTAAAATGTTCATGCCATATGGTATCACACACACTTTACAACGGGCGAGCGTCCCATATCTTTAGTTAAAAGTATCTAATTATTATGGCTATTCTTGCAAACGACTATATACTAAAAGAATGCAACATTTTTTCTTTTTTTTTTATCATCAAAACACTTTTTTCATTTGGCCTTTGTTTCAAGTCTACTCAATTTATTCCATGTTACGCCAGATATAATTTAATTATTTCTTAATGATACACATGCAGATCGACTAAAAGGCCCGTTCAACTTTTTCAATCGAATTTCAATTGTTTTGTCCTTAGTTTCAACCTTGTGCATGAATCGGAATTAATTGACGCGCTCTTGTATCCTGATTATAATCAATTGAAACCGAGCTGCTGTATTCAGCGATGTCTACCGAGCATAGTCACATATAACGCTTCGTAAGCCTTGTATCCTGATTATAATCAATTGAAACCGAGCTGCTGTATTCAGCGATGTCTGCTGAGCATAGTCACATATAACCCTTCGTAAGCCTTTTCATCAATTTTTCTGCAAAAAAGTTTCCAAAATCACCAGTTTACTTATAGACGGTTCCTCTCCCGATTTTCAGATCTTACAAAAATTGTTATGATAGCAAGTTTAGAAAACTCCTACTAGAATAGGAACTAAGAACATGGATAGAAATTATTAATACCATTTGGAAGTCTTCGCATCAACTACCTATACAAACAGTTGTTTTCGTTGATTTAATTAAGTCTCCTAAGCTGCTTTCGCACAAAGATCAAATATGCCACGAGGCCTGGGTGTCTGTATGAGCTTATAGCTGCACATGTCTCAATGGACATTAGATTTTCAATGATGTATCTGCGGAATCAAAGGGTATTTGATCATTCAGGGAAATAAAAGAAATTAAAAAAACTAGAAGCGGAAATTCAGTTGTTTTGTGAGTTTCTCTTTGTCTACACTCAGACATAAATTCAAATCCCATTCTGTTACATTTAACGAGACGGAAGAAGCATGAGCTCAGCGGAAAGAAGCAGTACGTTTTCCTCTCTTCCGTTCCCTTTCTTGACCCTTGCTTAACTCAAGCTTTTAACTTTTCACCAAAGAAAACTGATAGGACTGGTACACAATGCAATGCAGGATTGCACCCATTTACTGCGTGTGATACATTTACATGAAGAGCCCAGTCAATCTGCAAAATTTTCTAGAATGTTGCGTTCAACATTGTAGCGTGACAACTTTCACTAAACGATGGTAGTCACGCCTATTACATTTCCTGCAGGGGTAAATCTAGGATAAGTAATTAGAGGAAGGGGGTGGAGGAGGGGGAATGAAGCACCAGCCTATCGGTGCCTAAACCCATTTTATGGGAATATAATGAAGAGTGCAGGTTCCCGGGACTCCTTTCCTTCCTTATATCTGCCTTCAAGTTGACCTCTTATGATAAGGAACCCATCGTGTTTTCCGTACCTGTTATCATTGGAAGCCACAACTGAGCAAAAAGGAATAGGAAAAGTCCTGCCGGGATGAGGAGGACAGCTAAAATCTTTGAGATTGTTTTGTAATCATCTACAGAGGAAAAGTGAGTAAAGGAAAGAAGATTATGTCGCGAAAGACGAATATATTAAATTGTATGCCGTAATAGGTTCTGGACACCTCTAGGAAAGTTAGTTGGAACAAAATGAGCAAAACGATAGAGAGAACTAGAAAAGAGGAGGGAAACTGGCCAAAATTTGATGATTTCGTTATAAATTGAATATCTTTTGCTTGAGAATTATACAGTCAGGAAATAATATCAACTTGTAATTAATTAGGCCTTGCTCATCTGGGAACAAGAACTAACTTTAAAAATGTTAATAGCATAAAACATTCCCCAACCTGTCTGAGTAATATGAAATCTTTGTAATCATGAGCTGGCTGTCACTGGTTAATACGTCCCATACCCTGATAACCCAGGACGAAACAATGCAGTTTTGGCCAGTTGAAATAAGTTACTAGGAAAAAAAGTTTTCAACTGCATCTTTTGCGATCGCTTTTGATTGATTTTACACATATCTATCGCATCCTCCCCTTTTGGTCCACAATTGTGAGTACGTCATTAGTGAATACTTACCCACTGATGGATAGTTTTTGTGTGCGTGATATCTAGAATCAGTTAGTTTCGAAAAAATTACATGATTATTAATTTTTTGTATAGAGTATTACTGGTTGACCAAATCGAATTTAGCTAGGTCACAGTTTATGTGCTTTAGAAAAACGAGTTCTAACCAAACAACTTAGTGCTTACATTTCACTTTTAATGTAGCTGTACTATAGGCCTTTCTCCCGATGCCATTGTTTGCTTCACATTTGTATTTTCCAGCTTCTGCTTTCGTCACGTTCTTTATACATAGCCTCTTTCTGTCAGCAGAAAAGGTACCTCTCTCGATAGGAGACCCATCTTTGGTCCATGACAACCTCGGTTCTGGATTTCCAATTGCGTCGCAAGAGAAAGAAATATCTTGTCTTGCTACTTTTGTGGTATTCTCAAGATGGATAGTGATCCGCGGTTCATCTATTTATATGGAAAATTATTTTTCTAAGCATCCATTGACTAATAAATAACGAACGCTATTGCTTCTAAAACAACAAGAATGAGAAACCACCTCCATTTAAGGGACAATTTTTTTTATCACGGCGTATGGTCGATACCTCACTCTGATTTTAACAGTTCTGCAAAGGCGACTTAGCCTTCCTCAAAAGCAAAGGCCATGAATCATAAAATGCTTTCTAATTGCCAGTTTTATTGTACCTGTTTCTCTTGCTACATAAAATGGGAGATGAGAGATGGTTAGCATTCAATACTTACATTGAACATCCAGTGTAGCACAATTGGATTTAACACTTGAAACAATGTTACTCGCTACACCTTGATATTCTCCACAATCATCCCTTGTCAAATTTTTTATAGTCAGCTTCTTTTTGTCATGAGACAGACTGATCCTGTCATTGCCGGTTAGAGTTGATCCATCTTTCTCCCATGATATCTGAGGCTCAGGATTTCCACGAGCGTTGCAAGATAATGTTACGTCTTCCCCCTCCTTTTTCGTGTCGCCTTGAGGATGTTCAGTTATCACTGGGGAACCTTTCGACAGACAAATCATAAAAATGGTTAAATGATTTATTCATTATCAAAAAAATGGGAACCTCTTATCTTAGCAGTTCCAAGCCCAAATCGGATTAAGCAGCCGTTCAAAGGTATCCAGTCAATCAGTAAAGTAACGATCATCTTTGTAACGTAACTGATTTAGGTTCACTTCCAGTTGAAGTTGGTTGCCATATTTGGTAGTAGTGTTTCGGATGACTGCCGCTAAGGTTGTTCAAACATCAGTCATTACCACCGAAAACATTGCTTTTTAGCACTCTTGTCAACTAAACAATCAGGGTACGCGACCAAATGTTACACCGGGGGCTCAAACCAGTTACTCTGGTAATACTTTCCTACACCCTTTATCTAAAACCAAACATGACTAAAGGCCAGTAGGTGACTTATAAGGTGATCAATATTTTAATTAATCAAAACAAATGAATATTATAACGAACTTACCGATATTTTTGAGATCATCCGCCCGAAATATTCGTGGCAAAAAGGTTCCTTCTTCCTTGTCAACCACGCCGATGACGTAAACACGTTGTGTTTTAGGATCTTTCCACAGAACTGGAGACCCCAGTGATGTTTCATCCTCGAAGTCCTCACATCTTGTTATCTTGTACCTACCTGTTTCACTGTCTTTTACCCATTCTATTTCACGGTATATGTGACGATTCTCAATGATCAACGATTTAATCGAATCAGGAGGGTCTCTGTCATCATATGATTTTACCTTCAGGCTCTTATCCGGTTTCCTGTGATTGGGAGGAGTCAGGAAGCAGAAATTTTCCTTATTACCTTTTATGTTGAGGTCTCCGTTTCGCCTGGGGCGGAAGAGTGGCTTCCTCCACTGACGAGCATAAAAACTTCCCTGCCCATTTTTCGAAATAACTTTGTTGCAAGTAAGCAGATAATATTCCTTTCCGCCTAGTATTTCCACAGCACATGCAATTCCTGCAATGGATTTTTGCCTATCTCGTTCAAATTTTAGGCGATACACACAATCTGGCACGTCGCAATCTCGATTTTTGAATGCTCTTGAAATAAATGCCATTTTCTGGTGAGAATATCTACAAAATCCGCTGCAAGAAAACAGAACAATAATCCATAAGCGAATTGCTTTTCCATCTTTATAGACGATAAATTAGTGCTGTTTTTACTATTCAAATCATTTCCAATCAATTGCAGGGACGTTTTCGTTTAGAATTAAATCAGGGATATAAATTTGATGTTGGCCTCAGTGCAGATGACGGCCAAGTAGCGAAATGATACTTTCCGTGTGGTGAACTGCACTGAAAACAAAATTGCATTGAAATTATCCTGACTACTTTTCGCTTCAACGGGATTCGAACCTTTGTTTCCTGGTTACTAGCAAGTAACTTTTGCTACTACTAATAATAATGATGTACACAGCCACATCTTGAAAGCGCAGAAAATTGTAAGGGGCCCGTTATTCTCACAGGGGGAATTTTCTTTCATTCAAATGAAGCCTGAATTTTTCCAGGCTTCTCTTTCTGCAGCACACCTCTGAGAATCATTTCGTTACTCGCATACTGTATCGTTACATCCGATTGTGATATCTGTAGAGAATATCGCATGGGCGCACGTAGATGTGGAATATTTCACTTCGAGTGTTTAAATGATATTTGGTCTCAATGACAAGATGAGAGAAGATTCGACAAACGGGCTTGGAGTGAAAATGGTGAACGCTTTGCCACTTATTTATCAACCTGATAGAAAGGCGCAAGAGGCGAGTGACACGTGA